ATGTATGAGAGAAAATCATGGAGAATTGTAGTTTAAAAGCAATAAAATCGGCCTTGCTAACCGAACGCTTCTCTGTGGCCCAATCGGTTAAGGCCCGTCAGGCTATATGACGGTTATAGGGTACAGGTTCGATTCCTGTCGGAGGACGCATATTTTCTATGAAAATTTCTCGGACATTCAGACCGGTTGCTAATACTGTTTATTATAAACAGAGCATTTATTTAAATATTTGTATCTATAAAAAGAATGTATAAACATAAAAAATGTCTTAAAATAATTGTCGGACATTGTCCATTTCATAATATATATATATATATATATATATATATATATATATATTTATATATTTGGTTGGGCACCTCGAGGTGGTGTAATGGTTAACAAGCTTGTCTTGCTAGAACAATTACGACTGAGTAGTGAGTTCGATTCTCACTGGGTGCCTCATACTACGCTTGGAAAATCACTATATATGTTTGGTTGTTTAATGTTGAATATAAACCAGAACAAAAGTCACAATGAATTGTCAGAAAGGTAGACATAGGTCCAGTTTACACTAAAGTAAAAAAAAAAATAGGCAATAATAGGTCCTGGGCAAATGGACAGAGGTCCGGTTTACATTACGGGTTCAGTTTACAAAACAGGTAGACATATGCACAGGTTTATACTATGATAGAAAACATAGACTGACATATAGGACAAAAATGAATGGAATCGTCCGTTTATGTAAATAAGCGGAGTTAAGTGAAATTGAGGAGAATTAGCATTAGGTTTTAGCCTCGTGTTAAGCTCTTAGTGCTTGTCGAACTCTCTGCCCGAAGGCAGAGAGGAACCCAGACGAGGCTATGCCGAAGGGCAGAGTCTCGCCTGGGGAGGTAGACAAGCTCAATCCCGTTATTACGGGGTCTATGAACTCGGGAAACCACACGTTAAATTGACCTTGTGTTCCAGCCAACCATCAGCATAAAAAAAACTAAAGTTATGTACACTCACTCCAAAGCAACGCTATATCGAACATCTTTGTCGAAGATCAATGGAGGTTCTTGACCCCTTTGTCTACTTTGAAAGTACCCTCACTAGAGATGGTTCTTTCGATTTGGAAATCAGTGTTAGAATTGAAAAAGCCAGCAAAAACCATTGCTAAATTGGAAAAACGTATCTGGTCAAACAACGATGTGGACACTAAGTGTTTATCAATCGTATTTTCTGACAGCTCTCCTGTATCTTAGACGTCAAGTAGCACACTTTTACACCAGACATACAACTTTGTAATCAACTGCGCAGGGCATCTGTTATATAGGACATAAACGAATGAAATCGTCCGTTTATGTAAATAGGCGGAGTTGAGGAGAGTTAGCATTAGTTTTTAGCCTCGTGCTAAGTTCTTAGTGCTTGTCGCGCAGTGAGAAACCCAGACGAGTCTATGCCAAAGGGCAGAATCTCGTCTGAGGAGGTAGACAAACCCGACCCCGTAATAACGGGGTCTACAAGGAATTTTTGACTGGGTCTACAGGCTTGGAAAAACCTGCGTTAAACCGGCCTTGTGCCACATCCCGTTATGTGGGGAGCATGGGTAAATACCGAGTTAGCATTAGGTAACTCTGCTTGTACCCACGTTAAAAAAAAAAAATAAAAAATAAAAAAAACAGGCTTTGTGCCACACATCCCGCCTTGTGGGGAGGACTTAGGTAAATAAAGATTTAGAATTCGGTCAAATGCTAAGTGTACCTTCATCTAGTAACACTTCTATTTCATTACTTACCTACGAGTTTGTCTTTCTCATTTATTTCTCTCTGTTATCTCGAAAGCACAACATACAACATAAACATAGGTCCGGTTTATACTAAAGTCGAAAGGTATAAACATAATTCTAGTTTACACCAGGTCCCCAAAAGAAAACATAAACTCGGTTTACACTAGAATAAAAAGTAGACATAGGTCCGGTTTACACTCGAGTAAAAATAGAAATGGTTCAGATTTAAACGACTGTTACACATAGGTCCGGTTTACACCAGAGTCCAAAATGATAGATATAGGTCCGGTTTACACGAGGATAAAGAATAAATATTATTCTGGCTTAAAACTTTGCTCAAAATGTGTGTATATATATATATATATATATATATATATATATATATATATATATATATATATATATATATATGTGTGTGTGTGTGTGTGTGTCCGTTTTAAACTCCAGTAAAAAAAATCAAATTTACATAGTTCCCGTTTATCCCAGGATCCAGAGTGATAGGCATAGGTCCGGTTTACACTAAGTTAAACAAAGCTAAACTTTGTAAGATGTAGTTTACGCTAGAATAAAAAAACAAACAGACATAGGTGCGGTTTATACGAGAGTTAAAAGGTGGACATAGATCCGGTTTACACCTGACTTTGTGCGTATCCACTCGAATGATATGGCTCTGACACTGGATTAATTAAATGTAGTCAGCGTCTTCTATGCTCCATCGACCGTACGGAAAATGGTGGAATAAAGATAATAACCACACAATAAAACGAAAAGTTTTATTTAATTGAAACGGTAAGATCTATTCCCCTAGATAAAAAGACAAAAATATTTTTTTCAGTTTTAAATATTAGTAATAATTTTTGGCACATGTTGGTAGATGTGATGGCATCTTTTGTCTTGTTGCTAATGCTACAGTTATCGCGTAGTCTACAACCATGTGTTTCTCAAGAGGAGTTAATAGATGAGTTGGGTTAACTTTCTCTAATTAGTATGCACTGCGCTTGACTAGCCATGTGACCCTTAACGGCCAATCAGTGACACACTAGTCTGGATAGCTGAGAGTTTGAATGTCAACGCCATAAAAAGAAGATGCTTCCCTGACACGTGAAAAAAAAAAAAAAAGAAAGCAATCTCTTGCAATATGCATGCTAGATTTGTAAGGACAGACTTCTATAATATTCGCTAGCTTTTCCTTTCAGGGTACCGGAGAAGGCATGTAAAACATACATTTTGTTAGTATTTACTCTTGACCTTTTCCTAGCAGTTTTTTATTTATTTATTTCTTAATATTTAGATAAATATCTATACCTACAAGTAATATTAAAGCCGCCCGCATATACCTGGTAAACTAGTCTATATTTGAAAAAAGGGTACATGACGTAACTATTTGAGCTAAGCGTATATTGTGCGCAGCGAGTAATAACGTTGTCTCTACCAAACAGATATCTAGATAAGCTTAACTAAGCGATAAAAACAAGGCCAATTACAAAATACGTCATACCAAAATATGTCCGTGTGCGCGGTAAGAATTAAGAATAATTGGGCTAATAAAATAAAATCCAGTTTCAAGAGGCGAGGTTTGGGCAAGTGTTCAAAAGATGAATCAAAGGAATTTGATTAATTATTGCCAGCAATATAATCAACTTTTTTTCTTCAAAATCTAAGGAAACACAAAGCGTGATTTGACAGCAATATGGTACAATTAATCTATGACTTAAAAATCCTTTGAAGCAGATTAAATTAACGAGACCAGAATCTTAAATCATAGCCGTTTATTTGGCACTGAACCTTCTTCCTGCGTAAGGCCGAGAATCATGGGATTTTACGAATTCAGTCAAAGCAGCTGAGGAACGTCAGTATTTCTAACTACATTTTCTTATCTCTTAAGACTTTGCTTAGTTCCTGGAAGGCATCTTTTGCTATTCCTTTGCGTCTCCGGATTTCTATGTCTACTTCCCGTCGTCTGTTGCTACACAATCCTGGTTTATGTAAATCTATGTATCTGCCTCAATTTGACGTCCCCGATATGTAATTCGCAACTTGGCCAAACTCTTTTACTGCCAACAATTTTTTTGTCCCCTTCTTGCAGTTAATATTTATTCATATTTTAATTTTTCTACTTACTCTACTATATATATATATATATATATATATATATATATATATATATATATATATATATTTGTTAAATATTACAGACAATGTATATCTATTATGTTTATTTCTCCGGAAATTAAAGTAACTATACGAAGTTTAGACCAGATCGTGATCAAACATACTAGACATTCGTTGTCTGTTATATTTAACAATATATGTTTGAATATATATATATATATATTAAGACATTTTATGTTTATACATTCTTCTTATAGATACAAATATCTAAGTAAATGCTCTGTTTATAATAAACAATATTTACCGAGAAATTTTCATAGAAAATATTCGTCCTCCGACAGGAATCGAACCTGTATCCTATACAGAACGGTCATATAGCCCGATGTGCCTCCTAACCGAGGATCCTTCAGTTAGCAAGGTCGAATTTACTGCTTTCAAACTCCAATCATCCATGAATCTCTCACGTACATTCATATCTGCTCATGGCGTATCCAAATGTAAACAAATGACGTGACACATTATGAAATGGACAAAGTCCGACAATTATTTTAAGACATTTTATGTTTATACATTCTTTTTATAGATACAAATATTTAAGTAAATGCTCTGTTTATAATAAACAGTATTAAACAACATTTATAGGCCAGAATGTGTGACGTCATTTGTTGCTTTTTTTATTTTAAATGTAACATATACTTTTAAAGTAAAAAACCGTAATCCCATTGCCAGAATTACGTTAACCAGATATTTTTATTAAAATTCAAATAATGTAACGGCCATTCTCTGTTTTCATTGGTCGATTACTCGACCAATGAAAACAGATATCACGGGTTCATTTTTGTGGTTTTAGTGTGCGTGAATGTGCGTCTTAATTCATTGACATATTTATCATGTCATTTCGATAAGATTTCAAGAATTAGGCACATACACAGACACCACGAGACAAGCGAGACAAGAGAGTCCACTAAAATTAAAACACACATACTAAAGCCACAAAAATGAACACGTGACGTGTACCCGACCAATAAAAACAAACATAGAATTCAAAATACCGAAACATCTTTACTCTACTCCACTCCATTTTCCGCTTGAAGTAGTAAAAACGTCGAACTAAGAATAAATTTCGAAATTTCATCACGTTGAAACATCGGTTCGCGTATGATCACCGAAGTTAAGCAACTTCGAGCCTGGTCACTATCTACATGGGTGACCACTTGCGAATACCAGCTGTTGCATACTTGGATGCGCGGGTGGCGTAATGGATAATGCCGAGTTCCTATTCTAGTTGGGTTCGTTCGCTTACACGCAAATAACCTTTGGGAAAGGCATGAGTCCACCATCTTCTCCCAATCTATGGGTTAATTAGTAAGATATGTATCAATAAAACCATTATTATCTCAAAAATATTCTTAAAATCTAAAAATATTTTCTGGCTTTAAATAACGTGCAATGGGTTGATAAACCGTAAAAAAATGAATTGATCAATCTTCTACAACTTTCTATGTTTTCCTTCCGTTTCTTTCTCTTCTATAGATAATCGGCTTTTTCATTCCCTCACTTTCTCCTTCACCCCCTCTTTCTCTCCTTCCTCCTCTGTCTTTAATGATTTCATTTCTGTAACACTCCGTACACTTTTGTCTTACTTTTTCTTCTCTTACTCTTTCTTTTCTTTCTCATTTTTTTTCTTTATATCTTTCTCTGCCCACCACAGACTTTAATGTAGGAAGTGTCCATTTGCACTCATGGTCGCCATTTTTTAAAAATTGCAAAAACTAAATGTCGTTAAGGTTGGATCTCATTAATGGCTAGTGTTCTTCTCTATGACTTGATCCAAGCCGATTACTCCTTGGGAGACATGTTCTTGAGGACAGACGAATATTTTTTTTAATCGATTGCTCCCAATTTCATTCAGTGTCTATATTTCCCAATGTTTTCAATCCGGGAGACTGACACCATTATTCGCCTGTTGACCTTTACTGCTAATTTCGTCAATAAAATATGTGGGGTTGAAGAAGCGATGGTGAAGTTCAAGACATCCACCCCAATATTGCACCAAATTGAATCAGTCAAATCGTGTTATTCTGCCTCAAGTTTTTGGATTATTATTTTGCCATTTCTAAATACTCTCTCTCTCCTCTCTCTTTGTTGATTTTCTTTAGTCCGACACACAAGAGCTCTCTCTCTCTCTCTCTCTCTCTCTCTTTCTCTCTCTCACTTTATCTCTCTCTCTCTATCACTATCTCTCTCTTTCTATCACTACCTCTCTCTTTCTCTCTCTATCACTGTCTCGCTCTCTTTCTATCTCTATCATTATCTCTCTCTGTTTCTCTCTATATAGCTATCAATCTCTTCCTCTCTCTCTCTTTCTCTCTCTATCAGTAGGTCTCTTTTTTTCTCTCTCTCTCTTTCTCTCTCTATCACTATCTCTCTCTATCATTAGCTCTCTCTCTCTTTCGCTCTCTCTTTCTCTCTCTCTATCATTAGCTCTCTCTCTCTCTTTCGCTCTCTCTTTCTCTCTCTATCACTATCTCTCTCTTTCACTCACTCTCTCTATCACTCGCTGTCTCTTTTTCTCTCTCACTCTATCATTAGCTCTCTCTCTCTCTTTCGCTCTATCTTTCTCTCTCTATCACTAACTCTCTCTTTCATTCACTCTCTCTATCGCTCGCTCTCTCTTTCTCTCTCTCTCTATCATTAGCTCTCTCTCTCTCTCTTTAGCTCTCTCTTTATCTATCTCTCTTTCTCTCTCTTTCTCTCTCTGTCATTCTCTCTTTCTCTCTAATCCTCAGCATACTTTTGTTGATTTTTTATGTCTCCTGTGGTTCGACGCACACAAGCTGACACCCACCCACCCACTCTCTCTCACTCTCTTTCTCTCACTCTCTTCTCTCACTCTCTATCTCCCTATATATATATATATATATATATATATATATATATATATATATATATATGTGTGTGTGTGTGTGTGTGTGTGTGTGTGTGTGTGTGTGTGTGTACAATTTTCCCGTCTTTTTCGACGTATGAGGTTTCAGTTCTTGAATGAAACCGCCAGATTATCCGCACATATAATTGATTCTAGCGGTGATGGCTGTTGTAGAACTGACAACAGTTTTTGGAAGAACCGTAGACAGAGAATTGGTGCAACGCGTGCCACAAGGTCCCAAAACGACCCTCTACAGATTTTGAATACAGAGTTGCCTTTCTCCTAAAAAAAATTGAAGAATAGCAAAGCCGAGTTAAAAATCCACTGCTAAAACTCTTGGGAATGGTATGATTCTATCTCTTCTCTCCTAGTTATTATGTCCTATAGCCTTGGATATACACACATGTATATATATGAAGAAATATAGTCTTAAGATGTGCTATATTTATGGGATAAAGTGCTCAATATCAGAGATAGAGCGTGTGTAAATATAAAAGTGAACATAGAAGTCAACACTGTCAACAGACTGTTGCCTCTAAGTGTTGACTTCTATGTTCACTTTATATATATATATATATATATATATATATATATATATATATATATATATTAGAAGTGAACACTCAGAGGCGACACTCTGTTTTCTGCTAGACGCAATCGTCGGGCCGCCGATTGCGTCTAGCATTAAACAGCCTGACGCCTCTAAGTGTTGACTTCAATGTTCACTTTTTACTTATATTTACATACGCTCTATCTCTGATATTGAGCACTTTATCCCATGAATATAGCACACCTATAGTATATTTTTTTATATATATATATATATATATATATATATATATATATATATATATATATATTGAACAATAAAAAATATTAAAATTAAAATCTTCAGACACACTGGTTTGTATGTTAATATTCTTTCGTTTTTATTATTATTTCATTTAGATTCCTCAACTAGTTTCGGCCAACATGGCTATCATCAGGAGAAAAAAAATTCTGCTTGTTAGTACCAGTGAACTATAGAAATGAATGACTTGATGGAGAAAATGAACTTTTGTCTGTAGTTTTCATTTGTTTTCTTATTTGTTTTTTTAACATGAATTTTGGTCAGTCCTTGTGTTGTTCAAACAGTTTTTTTTAAGTTATTTGAGATAAGAGCTGGATGGATTCATGCTGCTCTAAATTCTCTTTGTCATTTTGACAGTTTTATTGGTTCCTGGAAAGGGGATGCGTCTCTTCGGTTCTTACGTGAGTGAGTATGATGTGTGTAAGTGTGTATATTACTATGAGTGTGTGTTATCATTTGGAAAGAATATATATATATATATATATATATATATATATATATATATATATATATATATATATATATATACATACATATATATATATATATATATATATATATATATATATATATAAATTCTTCCCATCAATCTGTACAGAAGTGTCTAGGAATTGATGAACTGGTTAAGGTTGTCAGATACCCTGAATCTCCGTTTTCTTTATGTTAATAATAAAGCCAAAAGCTTTGCATGCAAGAGAAAAACATTTGACTATTTCTTGGGCTTCCTCTCGGGATGTTGCCACTAGTGCAGCATCATCAGTAAACAGCAGATCACGAATGATGCTAGTTCAAAGAAGTCTTTTAACTCTGAACCGCTGATGGTTGAAAAGGTCACCACTGGTTGGAAATTGAAATTTAATGCCAGTGTCCATGTCACCAAAGGCATATTTCGAGCATTACTGAGAAGAATAAATCAAAGAGAATAGGTACCATAACACAATCGTGCCTCGAGCCATTTATAACATTAAAGCGATCCAGAGAATTCTCCATTAGATACAACAGCAGTCTTCATCCCATCATGAAAGGAGATTATAACATTCAGTCGAGTTCATTACATTTACTTACGTACTAACACCCTTGGGAAAGGTATGAATTTATCTCTTCTCTCCCAGCTATTGGATCCTATAGCCTTGGATGCAAACACACACACACACACACACACACACACATATATATATATATATATATATATATATATATATATATATATATAATACCCTACACCGACAGTACGACTCGGAGTTTGATGCACTAGGCAATCATCAGGTATAAATAAACTGGTCGTTACAGGATTTACATTTCTAGGTTTCGCAGCGTTAGCGTAGTCACCTAACTACGCTAACGCCTCTGGACCTAGAAATGTTTTACTATTATTAAATGTATAGCCAGAAAATTATTACTAGCAGTAGAGCTCGGCGTTGCCCGGGGATGTAACAGTAAGAGATAGATCAAGTATCGACCATCATAAAGACTGAAAAATAAAATTGACAAAGATTATTGTTTAAGGTTGACGGACACGCATGTCTTAATTAGTTCTTTTTTACGAATTGGTCAAACCCAAACTCAAACAAAAACATTGTTTTCAATCGTTACGAGTCTACCAATTGAATAGAATTTTATTATAAACAATTGTCTTGTAAATGGAATTTTTAAAGCATTCTGAATGTAAAAATAAAGAAAAAAGTGTACAATGCAATAAGAAACACTACCTGCCAAAAAAAAAGTGAAGTTTTGTTGAAATCGGTTGAAAAATGTAGGAAATCCGATCCCATATATAAACGAACACACACACGCACACAAACAACCTGAGTTTTATAATAAGTATACCTCGATATGAGTTGTCCCCCTTTCATTCTCGTGATGCCTCTTAATCGTGTTTTCAAATTGATTTCATGCAAAAACAATTGTGTTTTTCCAATTTTTGGCGCAGAACCACCGCAAGGTAATTTTACGCAGTCCTGTGAAATTTTGTTGAAATCGGTTGAAAAATGTAGGAAATCCGATCCAATATATAAACGTACACACACACACACACACACACACACACACACAATCTGCGTTTTATAATAAGTAAGATTTAATTGTACTATAATCTAGATCTAAATTTAAATTTAGGTTCAAACTTGCACTTATAATTAAAATTTAAAAATCAAATATTCCAATTTCAATTTTATTTTTAAAAAGCGGAGAATGCTGGTGGCTATATACGTTGAAAAGCATTATGTTTCAAGGGGAATAACTTTTTTGCTTGAAGTAAAACAAATGTAATAGCGATAATAAAACAACAATCGGTAACAGCAATGATAAAATAACAATATTATTATAATGATATTTTTAATAATATAATAATAATAGGTAATATTAATAATAATAATAATAATAAAATAATAATAATATCAATAATATTAATATTAATAATACAATAATAATAGATAATAGTAATATTAATAATAGTATATGC